GATGCGAGAAATATCTCGGAGCAGCACAGAGGATCCAAGGAATGCAAGATGGCTGCGCCCTTTATCAACAGAAGGGAAAGTTGTAGTTTTATACTGTTTAAGCACTACTTCTCATTTGTGGATCATTAAAATCGGTCGCACACACTATACCACCCAACGTATCTGTGGACGTGTTGCTACAGAGTTTTATACGTAAAGCTAACAATGGCTAAGAAATAACCGGGTTACAACTGGATTTCATGTTTAGTCGGATTATTTGTGGGATTTAAGGTAGTTCAGGCTAAGTGAACGAAGATAAAGGCCATTTAAACTGAGGTACCTTAAATCCGATAAGTTGTCTGGTTAAGCAGCGGATGTGACATTCTCGGCCGCCAAAACTTGGATCCGAAGGCAAATGGAATGCACCATTAACATCATACCTGAGGAATTAGTCTCTTCACTCTGACTGCTTTGACTCTCTGAAGCTTTTCGTCTGCTCACCTGCCAGTCAAAGAAGTCTGATCACTGACAGCAGCAACTAGTGGACCGGAGGAACAAAGGCAATGACGACATGGTAGGGGTGTTGCATCGAGGTGCTCAAGCTCCCCCACTTGTTTTATGGCTGTACTACACGGCAGCCCAAAATCCCAGCCCAAATCAAGATGGCGCCGAGCAGCTGTCTGGCCACTGTCCCAGTGGAAGGCGCCATGCAAGGGGGCCAGTTCTGCCCCGAACCAAATGACACGGCATCATGGATGCAGCGGCCAAGCATTAGGGCCGAGGAAAATATTAGTGGGAAAAGAGAAGATAATGGGCCAGCAGAATGATCCAACCACATATAAGACGAAAGAACGTGCTGAACTGGAACACAGAATTAGGGCGAGGCCACGGCTGGGGACTGGCTGTTTGGTGGGGGGGGTGAGGCACAGGCTTTCAGCTGAAATTACATTCACACTCATCCGTTTAACTGACGCTCCCCACTAAAGGGACGTACGCGTGAAAGAGAGAGAGAAAGAATCCCCCTATCTGGCGGAGCCACCGCTCAGGCCAGCGAGCCGTTTATTTTGGGAACAAATATGTGTGTTTCAAGCAGCAAGCTCTGATTGGACAGCCCAGTCACATGAGCATGACAGTGCCATAACGGTGGGAGATCAAAGAGCTGTGAGGATGGTAACCATTAAAGTCAGGGCACGGGTAAACAACGTTGTACGGGTGATTTTACTGGGAGTCCATGGGCACGTGACCCTGCACAGCCTTCAGAAGCTCAGTGTAAGAACAAAACAGTCTCGATGACCTGATGCCATGCAAGAAGGTCACTGAACAGCAGGGGGCACCCTGGCACTCAGGTGGCTTTCCGTATTGCATCTTTAAACTGAACCATCAAAGCATCACATCCTGTAGCATAGAGACTGGACTCATGAGCAGGGAAATCAAGGGGCTGGGTGGGTTTAACAATCTGCTGCAGAGGGAGATTCCTAAATGCCACAAAGAGTAGAGCCCCGTGACTGTAAAGGTCACAGAGTCACCCAGGATGTGACCAAAGGTCAGGATGACACCATGGTAGGCCAGTGACACCAAACCTCTCCAAAACACCCACTATCAGCCTTTTCCCCCAAGCGACAAGGCCACCGGTAGACCCCCACCCCCTTGGCAGGGTAGCTTCAGACCCACCCAAAAGCTCCACCACCCCCAGTCTCTATAGGTCTCCAGCTGGAGGACATAGGTTCCCAAATTAAAAAGGCAATGTTCACTCAGCCTTTTATGTCCTGCCCCAGCAGGCTGGTCAAATACCCACGCAGGGGGTAATTAGAGGGCCTGGAGGGCCCGGGCACAGACATACCCGTGGCAAAGGAGAGCCGCTGTCCACAGCTCCCCTATTAGGCTGGTAATTAACTCTGATCAGGCACTGGGGAATCGCCAATTCCTCGAGGCTGGGTCCAACCCCAGTCCAGTTCGGCAGTATTTTCTAGGGGCAGCAGGCGAGGTTAATGTCCGGCAGCGGGAATCGGCGGACCGGCCACAGTGCCGCGATGAGGAAAACTCCCTGCTTCAGCATTTAAGTGAGTGATCAGCACATCTGCTGAGCCAAAGCGAAAGCGGTAGACCAGCGCGTAATCACTGCCCCATCTCTGGCGAACGGAACTTTGTGTTTGCGCGAGTTACCATGACGAAGTTCCTCAAACATCCAGCTTCATAATAACCCCCGTGACTGACCCAAACCGCAGCTCCTCTGCTTATAATTAACCGGCAGCTGTTATTAAGCCCGGATCTGTTGCTTGATCCCCATGGAAATCAGCTGGTCGATCCTCATGAGGATCTGACGCTTCACATCCATGAAAGTCTGAAGGCCGCCTGAAGTACTACACCCAATCACGCCTGCATGTCACCTGGGCAGGTGAAGCCCATTGTCCATCGTTATCCACCATCACACCCACATCTGTGGGGTCTCTACTCGCATCATACAGTAAAAATCCCCGGCAGGTTTCTCTTGCGGTTTAAAATTCACGCTCGCACGCTTGTCTGCCCACACGCAGCTGTCTACAGAGTCCCCGATGAAAGAGCCCCGACAGGCGGTTCCTTACCCGAGATCTTGATGCGCGGTACCCAGCTCTGGCTGAAGCCCTTGTCGATATAAAACTGCCGGACACTGGAACAGCTCCGAGGTTTGCCATCATTGGCGACGGCCGGGACTGCGAGCAGGCAGATGAGGAGTGCCAGGGGGGCGTCCATGCCGGGCGGAGGAGATCGGGGGGCTGAGGAGCAGCCGGGTGTCCAGAACGACCGGTTCCCTTAAAGCGCACACAGCTTATCGCCGGGACCCCTTCGCCGATCCGCTGCTCGCGTGCAATTGCAATAATGGATAACGTCCCCGGAAAGAGTCGATGTCAGCACTGCCTAAAAGGCTGCTATTAAAAAAGAGGGGAATTAAAAATATCAAAACGTATATATTAAAAAAAAAA